AAACTCCTCAGCCTTAAACCCTAAACCCCGAATCTCTTTAAGCCCTAAACCCCAAACCTCGAAACTCCTAAACCTTAAACCCCGAAACTCCGAAACCCGAAACCCCGAATCTCCTAAAACCTAAACCCCGAAACTCCGTAAACCCGAAACCCGGAAATTCCTGAACCGAGCGATCAGCGACACCCTGCGAGGGAGTCCCACACAGGCGACCGAGCCGGCCTCCAGGCTTGCCCACCCCTCCAGGGCTTAGGCTGAGTGAGCCTTGGTCCCTGTTATTTCTTTTATTACCCTCAAACGCACAACGGACCAAAGGTGCTTTTTTCTGGTTGTTAAGGGGGGGGGGGGGTCGGGGCTGGCTGTCCCCGGCTCCCCTTCCCTGGCACGGCCCCGAAATCCCAGCTGGCCTGCCACAGTGCAGCCTTCAAGGAAAACTTCAGTAACAACATTGCGAAGATCCGGCGCCGAAAACACACTTCTTCAGTCGTGCATGTATTCTCGCCTTACGTGTACGAAGAAACATATGGGGTTTCTGAAAAATAGGGGACCCTAATATAGTACCCTAAATAGTAGGGTCCCTATTATAAGGACCCCAAAATAACCCCTTGTTTTCTGAAACTCCCATATAAAGCCGCATGCCCTGAGAGTTGTAAGTGGGTGGCCTTGGCGTGGGTAAGCCTGCAGTCCGACGCCCACAAAAGCGCGCTTTCCTTTGGCACACCCTAAGCCCTAAACCCCGAAACTCCTAAGCCATAAAACCCGAAACTCCTAAGCCCTGAACCCCGAAACTCCAAAGCCCTAAACCCCGAAACTCCTAAACCCTAAATCCTAAACCCTAAATCCTAAACCCCGAAACTCCTAAGCCCTAAAACCCGAAACTCCTAAACCCTAAAACCCGAAACTCCTAAGCCCTGAACCCCGAAAACTCCAAAGCCCTGAACCCCGAAACTCCTAAGCCCTAAATCCTAAACCCCGAATCTCCTAAGCCCTTAACCCAAAGAGCCTCCAAGCTCTCGGTTTGAAGCTCCGAGCGCTCCTCCGATCCAGTTGGGCAATTCCCCAAACTATCGCCAAAGTTTAGGATTTAGGGACGGTTTAAGGACGGTTTAGGGGTTTAGGGGTTTAGGGTTTAGGGTTTGGGGACGGTTTAGGGGGATAGGGTTGAGGGGAATATAATAGGGCCTTGGGTTACATGATTATGGTAGACTCATTTAGGTAGCTTTCTAACTTAGGATATCTTTTGGGGTCCCCAAAATTTGGAAGTCACAAGCAGTGTAGACTCCGGTTTTTAGAGAACTTTATGGCTTAAGGATCTAAAGTCCTTATGGGGAATTGTATATGCTCTGTAGGCAGGCTTAAGGTTGAGGGTTGCGGGATGCATCTTTCAAGAAAGGGGTTCTATTGACAGATTTTTGGTTCCGGACTTTGGAACTTTCGGGTGCCCGTTTGTTGTTGGTCCGGTTGGGCTTGGAATTCTGGGTTTAAGGCTTTCGGGGCGGCTTGGGTATTGGGTGCCGAGTCTACGGGCTGCAGGGGTTTAGGGTTTTCGGGCTTCAGGGGGTTTCAGGCTTAATCCAGTGGCATCAAGCTCTGTTTGCTAGCGAAGGAGCATGCAATCTGAAACACCATGAAGCCCTAAGCCCTACACCCGGGTGGTTGTCAAAATTATGGTCCCTTTTTGGGTCCTTATTATAATACGGCACCTATTATTTAGGGTACCCAAAAAGGGACCCTAATTTTGACAACCACCCACCCAAAACCAAACCCTAAACCCTAAACCCTAAACCCTAAACCCAAACCCAAAACCATAAATAATTGCAAAGCAAAAAACTGCAGAGTCGGTAGGCTCCCTGGATGAGATGGAGCGCAGGGAGGCGAGTACGCTTGAGAGCATCCAGCCGGTGGCGTTGCGCTTCGGCAGAGGGCTTAGGGTTTATATGACTTAGGATTTAGGGTCTGTGGAAGTGTGGTGGGAGATGTGTCTTTGGAGATGTGTCCCTACAAATGTATACCCAGACACGTACAAGGGCAGGTGCACGACAGCTAGGAGATGTGGGATGAAAACGCGGCGCGAGCTTTGCGACAACTGCGCTCCAGCTTTGCAAGCGTGCTTGCCAAAGGCAAAGGTTGCGACGCCGCGGGGAGTATCTCTTCCAAGATTGTCAACCATGCCTCTGCCGCGAGATATGTCTTGCCTGCTCGATCCTCGATCTGTTTACAGATTCCAGGCACTATGTTTCTGTACTTTTGCCATGAAGATGACACTCTCTTGGAAAAAACCTCCCTCCCCCCAGGGAGTTGTCAGAGAGCCTCCTGTGCCATCCATGGACTCAAAGGCCCCAGACGCGTTTCAGCTTCTCTTGTATTTTTGATTGTTGTGGTATTTAGGTTGAGTTTTGTTTTGAGTTCGGACTGCCTCCAAGCATCTCCGGAATCTCCCGGTACAATTCCAAAGGCGCTTCTGCAGCCGCAGACTTTTCCCGGGATGCGCTTGAAAAGAGGACCGGGGTTGAAAAGAAAAAGGGGTTCAGGGTTTAGGGTTTAGGGTTTAGGGTTTAGGGTTTAGGGTTTAGGGTTTAGGGTTTAGGGTTTAGGGTTTGGGGGAAACCCTGTCCACTTCGTTGCCGTAACGGGGCCCTGAGGCCGCTGTGACCGGGGCAGCTGTGGCTGCCACTGCTGACTGTGACGGACCAGTTCTAGCTGCTTGCATCCCCTCTATCCAGGCTCGATGCGAAGGCCACCTCCACTCGCTCCTCTGCAAACTGGATCTTGGCCCCCTGGAGCAATGATCAATTCTGAAGTCCCCATCATAATACAGTCTTCGATCCATCTCTGGGTCCTGACAGTGTCATGTAGATATGTCACCACTGTCGACCGCGATCGCATCCAAAAGCTGGATTCTGGATTTAGGGTTTTGGGGATTCGGGTTTAGGGGCTCTTGTTAAGGAAATTTTCAATCAAGCTACCATAATAGGGATCCACAGCTCATAGTTATGGTTTCTTTCTTGTGGTAATTTTAGCTAAAAACCCCTTAACAAGAACCCAGTAAGAGCCGAAACCCAAATTTCTATTCGAGGACCCGGTTTAGGGTTTAGGGTTTAGGGTTTAGGGTTGGGCCCAAGAAACCTATCCTTAAGGATTTATACACGATGGGGCACTCCAAACAGGTAGGTTTTGAAGGGTTCAGGAAACACCTATATATAAAAAATGTACCCTAAACCCTAAACCCCAAGACTCAAACCCCTGAAAGCCCCAGAGCCCCAGACCTTAAGCAGCATAGTTCATAGTTGAAGGAAGTTTAGGGGCTTAGTTAGGGTCACAGACTTAGGTTTTCGGGGTTCAGGGTTTAGGCGTTCAGGGTTCAGTTGCTTGGGGTTGTTAAGGGGCCCCCGAAACCCAAAAGCCTTGAGTTCACCAGCTTTCCGCTCTGCCACGCTTGCCGAGCGCTCGGCAGCGTCGAGGCCTTCGCGCCGAGAACAAGACTCGATGTTCGAGGCTGTTTGTTTGGTTTGAAGTATGACATTCTGCAGAGGTTTGTATGGTTTGGTGAGGTTTGGGTTTTAGGATATTGGGGTATTCGGGCTTAGGGTATGGAGTCTTGAGCGCATTGTGGGTTGAGAAACTGTTTAAAGCTCAAGTTTGTTTTTCGGAGTTGTTGCTTCCTTGTGATTTGTCGCACAAGGGCTTTTGGCTAAGACTTGGAAGCATCTAATCGGTTTGGGAAGGCGGCTTACAAAGTTCTACGTAGCTTCAGCTGTTTGTGGAGTTGTTGCGGGCGTAGGCGTTCGGGATTCGGGACTTTAGGGTTTAGGGTTTAGGGTTGTCCAGGCCTTCTTGGGATGGAATGCTGTAGAAACTTCGGAGGATTCCACTCGGCCAAAAATAGTTAATTAATGAACCCTCTACCCATAGGCCCCAGAGTAGTTCCTTTTTGGGGTTACCTTATAGGATCCTATATATGAGCCCCAAAAAGGCCTTGCACTTGATTTGTCACAGGAGTTTCGCGGCTGTGCTAGGCTGTATTGCGGCGGTATAGAGATGAGGGCGCCCCAAAGCGACTACTTCCTGAACCCCACAACGTCCCTAAACTCCAGAACCCACCCTAAACCCTAAACCCTAAACCCAAAACCCTAAACCCAAAACCCAAAACCCAAAACCCAAAACCCAAAACCCTAAACCCTAAATAACCCAAAACCCTAAACCAAAAACCCTAAAC